AAAGATCCGGAATCTGAAACACTAATGTATAAAAGGGGTTCAGAAGTTACTTTAGTTAATTTAGACTACCTCTTGGTAAATGCTAAGCTCAGTCCTTGTCCTGTTATGCTATGCTGGAAGGGACCTGCTCTGTGCATGCTCCAAAGCTATGCTGATGTTATGCTAATATCCAGTCCAACCCCCTGCTTGATGCAGTAATACAAATCAAAGGATATCTGCCAGGTGGTTGTCTAAGTTTCTCTTGAATGCCTCATGTTGGAGCACTCACCACTTCTTGAGGTAACTGGTTCCACTGTCTTACTGCTCTAACAGTTAGGAAGCTTTTCCCGATATTCAGTCGAAACCGGGCTTCCTGTAACTTAGAGCCCATTGTTGCGTGTCCTGCACTCTTGATCAAAAACAGATCCTGCCCCTCCTCTGTATGCCCGCCCCTCTAGACCATGTCTACTTAACTTTCTTAACTGTGGTGTCCAAAACTGGATACAATACTCAAGATGAGGCCTAATCAGTGCTGAATAGAGAACTAGCATCTTGCAGGATTTGGAAACTATACTTCTGTTAATGCAGCCTAAAGTAGCATTTACTACATCACAATATCGGCTCGTACTCAGCTTGTGATCTATGACAATTCCAAGATCCTTCTCATTTGTAGTGTTGCTGAGCCAGGTATCCCCCTTCTTGTAACTGTGCAGTATTAGGTAGATTAGTTAGTTCTTAGTATTAGGTAGATTAGCCAGCTTTCTTATTTTTCTAGTGTCTCTCTCACTACTATTTCAGCCTTTTGTCTGTTTGTTTGTTCCAAGTACTTTTTGAAGCTTTTGCCTTTTTCACTTTAATATAGAAAATTCTCCATCCAATTGTCTGAGTGTTTCTCCAAGAGGGATTATGGTACCTAAAAACCAGATCTTGCCTTGATCAGCTACCTTGATCAGCTAGATTTGGCATTTTGTGGGTGTGGTGGTAGTTCTACCTTGCAGGGTTAGCATAATGGTCTGAAGCACTTAACCTTGTGGATTTTTGAAGCTCCCTGAAAACACTGCTTTGTTGGGATAAGCTAGAGCAGTGGAGGCGAACCTTTTTGGGCTCGCGTGACCAAACTGAAAACAAAACAAAAAAACCAGCAAGCTGCATGCTGCGGCAGAACCAGAAGTGGCGGCCAAAGGGGGAATCCCGGGCATGGAGGTGCCTTGAGACCCCCCTCTAGATCTGCCAGCAGTGCCAGCTGCTCCAGATCCGCTTGTCGAAGCACCAGTACCGTGGCTGCAGCCACCTTTTCAGGTCTGGCAACACCGGAAAGGGGGGGGAGAGTAGCAATCCGGCAACTTATGGCTTGTGTGCCTGCAGAAAGGGCTTTGCGTGCCAGCTTTGGCATGCATGCCATAGGTTTGCCATTGCTGAGCTAGAGTGTTTGGAGGCACTAGGGCCAGAAAGGTTCCCTAGCCATCGCCTTATTTGACTCTTCTGGGCTCACCTATTCCAGGATCAACAGGGTAGTGTGGATGAGTGGTTAGAAAGGGTCTCCAGCATATCATCACAAAGATCATGAACAATAATGCAGATGTGAACAGGAGTGGGGCACACAGATACAGATGCAGCCATTTTCATGATCAGAGTGCACTGGAAAAGTGCAAGGACAAGCCTAATTAGATGTGCAGAAAATATCTGAAAACAGAATTGGTAATTGAGAAAAATGTAACTTGTGGGTAAGCAAAAGGGAATAGTGATTCAGAACAAAACATCTAGGAAATTTGCTATGAACCAGAAATGTTCATTAGGGTGATGTAATAAATTATTAAAAATGATACGTGTATTATTATGTTACGATAATAAATTACAGTACCTTATAACACAAATACACTAATCTAAGGCTATTAGTATGCAAATAAAGTTTTAAGATTATTATTGTTGTTATTATTAAAAATAACTATTATACAGTTATTATGAACAAAATAAATGTAATAATTTAAAACAATGAATAGACAATTAAAACGCTAAACCGCTTTTCCAACCAGGAAAATTAAGATGTACTGTACCAGGATCAATAAATGTAATGAAGGTGGAGAAGAAAAGAGAAGGAGGAGGAGGAGAGACAAGCACTATCCCCACCATTTATGCAGATCCTGGTAATTTGTAGCAAACGTAAGGATGAAATAATCAGACCAATAATGAGCCAATTGAGTTTCAAGGCTTTAGAATATAATCCTAAACAATTTATTTCTACATGCTAATAATGCCATCACTTACACAGAGTAATACAAGATGATTCACTGTCACACTGCAGCTTAATAGCGAATGAGAACACACCAATGTCAGCTGGAAGGATGGCATTATTAGATTTCATTGCCATGTTCTTATAACACCACATCATGTCATCGCTTAACACAAGGATTTGTTTGATCTATTTAGGAAGCAACTAATTCATCGTCACAACCATATTAAAATTCAGAAACAATGAAATTTATCCTGTCTTTTCTTCTCTTCACTGTGACAACCCTTGGTTGTTGGAAAGCCTAATAATGCATTGTTTAAAAATGGTTATAAAAAATGTCACCTTGAAATGTAGTTAAAAGTGACACACAAAAATTTATACTATGAGATGGGATAAAAAGCAAGCTATCAGCAGATACTTGTTATTATGTCTGCTTATTACCTCCAAGACCAGAAACATGAAGGAGCAGTTGCTGGGACCCCAGCTCAGAGCCTCCTATGGCTCTCATGTCCTCCTTGAGAGCTTCTCATTCTAGCATTTGTTTGCTCACAGTTCAGACAGAGTAGCACCATGAGCAATAACTGTGGGTGCAATATATGTTTTTGCTCTGATTTTTGCTCAATTGTCAACACAACTGTTCATATGGAAAGAAGATAGGAAATGATACCACACATTCTTGAATAACATTCAAATTATGAAGCTATTGCTACCATGTTTCCCTGAAAATAAGACAGGGTCTTATATTACTTTTTTCCTCCAAAAAACGCATTAGGGCTTATTTTTGTGGATGTTTATTTTACAGTCATGTCATCTTCTGGTTGCTGCACAATGGTGGAGGGCAGGGTTTCATTTAATTGGGGCTTATTTTTGGGGTATTGCTTATATTATGAGCATCCTGAAAAATCATACTAGGGCCTATTTTCAGGTTAGGTCTTATTTTTGAGGAAACAGGGTATTCTTAGGAAAAATAGCATCATTGAATCTTATAATGGCAGAAATTTCAATAAACAATGAAACAAGGTTTAAATACCACAGATGTGAATCTAATGGTAAATGCCACATTTAAATACTTCTCTCCTTTATATAGAAGTGACAGGATACTTATCTTGTCAGTGTGTTCAAAATTATACATTCAGAGCCAACTGTCTTTTCTCATTGCTAAACACAAACCTCACTTAAGGAGACAAGAGGAAATCACTACTTTTTAATTGTTTAAAACATGAGATGAGATGCAGACTGCTATCAAGCTGTGAGTTGGCAAGACAGATTCTGGAGAAGTCTGTCTGAGCATTCTTGAGTATTAAGGTGCCAGTGCACAGTCTGGAAGATGATGCAGTCACAAATTTTAGAGATGGGCACGAATTAAGTCATGCCCTTTCCTATGAAGTCCTCTGTGCTGCACCTATGGTGCTGCATGTTCCCTCCTCTCACCTTCCCGGTCGGTTGACCCACTCACCATCTGGCGTGCACCACCAGGGTCCTCCTTCTCTAGTGGTGCTCCAGTCTGGGCAGGAGCTTGGGCCACCCTTCCCTGCCTCCTCCAGCAGCCAATCACTCAGACGAGGAGGTGGGATAGAGATTCTCCCTGTGCAGCCATTGCATGGCTGGCTTCCAGAGGTGGGCAGCACATGACAGATGGTGAGTGGGCCAGCTGGCTGAGTGGTGGAGGAACAGGACTTTGTATGAAGGGGCACAATTTACTTCATGCCCAATTCTAATCACAATTGCTTTATATATTGACCTGAACAATACCCAGAAGAGAGACTGTGATAGTGAAAATATTGGCTAATTGTTTTTTAACCTGTAAGACAACCTCCCAGATACTTTTGCCTCTTTCTAATCATATTAAATTAGTTTTTAAAAAAACATATGGTTTTGGGAGTCTCTATCAAGGCTCCTTCTGGGAACTCTGCCAGATGTCTACTCCATAAATACTGCACTACATTATATCTGTGAAGATAATCATTCATTCAGGTGAAGTTATCTGGAAGATGAGTCATGGCAACTGGACTTCTTCCTTATTAGGTTGAAACGTTTTGCTACTCATCCAAGTAGCTTCTTCTGTCTGAGGAGAGTTGGTAGGAGACCCCGATATATCCTCCTGTGGATATCAAGTCCAGTCTGTCAAGTCCAGTTGCCATGACTCAACTTCCAGACTGCACTACATTCTTCCAGATGTGGTTCTTGGCCACTTTCCCTCTTTATCCGATTGCCCTGTTCCTTCTTCACACAGCTGATAATACCTGCTTCCCACTCTTGGATGCATTTCTTAGCATGGTGAAGGGGGTTGAGTGTGTCAGGGGAACTGAGAGAAATGCTGTCAAACGGCTAGACTCTATGGCAGGTAGACTCCTGACAGTCAGCCAAGGAGTGATCAGAGCTAAACCACCAGACTAAGATGCATCCAACCCTCTTCAGGATTAACCACTGCACCAGCAAAAGAGAGCAGATAGTTCCAATGGTGAGCAAAATCCCAAATTTTATGCATTTCTCCTTACTTTTTTGATTGGTCTACTAAAGGTACTGATTGAGTGAATGAATCAGTGAGCTGGGTACCTGGCTGCAGAGCCAGGGGTCAGGGGTTCGATCCTCCATTTTGCTTCCTGGGAAAAAAAACTACCTGTGTGGCCTTAGGCCAATTACTCTACTCCAGAATGACTTCAGAAGAAGAGAATGGTAAACCACTTCTGAGTAGTCTACATCTAAAAAACGCTGGAAAGTATCTCCATAAGTCAGAAGTTGACTGCACAATATTATTAAATATCAACTTAATATGGTTTTTAGACTTGCTTTATTTGTTAACACAGTTCTCTGTATATTACTGTTCCCGTTAATGTTTACAATTTAAATAACGATGTGTTTGCTATACATGAAGGAAAAAAATAGGATACTGTAGAAATATAGCAAAATTTAATATTTTTGTGTATTTTCAGGTTCTATTCTTATCTATACCAGTCAGTGCTTTGGATTAAAATATAAATCACTCCTGTTCTTTTGTAGACATGCATTCAGCAGCAAGGCAATCAGCCTCATACTTTTTCTTCAGACCTTTCAGGTATATTTGCAAGCTGTCTGGATCAAGTCGAGAGTTGCGAGCAGTCTGAACCAACCTATTTGCTAAATGATATATAGCTCTCTGCTTTAATGTTTCAGGAGAACTTCTTTGTTGCTGCTGTTATTTAAAAAGACAAATACATACTAACATTTAAATGGATACAACACACATTACTGCAAGTTTATACAGACTGTTTTACAATTTCAACTAGTATTATACTCTAATAAGTTCACAGAAAAGTTCATCTGTTCTTATACAGCATGCAGAAGTTGTTATTTCCCAACTTTTTGAGATGCAAAAGATACTTTTTTTGTTTTGGAAAGAAAAGTATGCACATTTTCAATCAACAGTGACCCTATATTAGATGTTACTGATGTGCACCAACCTACCCTGCTTCCTAAGAAACTCTGGAAATGAGCAGCCAGATGTGGTCTCAAGGTTTGGTGTTGCATACTAATGAATCCCAGTGATATGTATTATCTCCAGTTTAGTCTATGTAAGCATTATAGGTAAAAGCACAATAGAAATAAACAGTTTTAAAAAGACAAAAATGTGGTAGCACTTTAAAGACTAACTTCAATATTTTAATGTGAACTGGTTCATGAAAGCACACGTTAAAAAATATAAAAGTTAATCTTTAAGGTTCCACCATTTTTTGGATGGTCTTTTTAAATTTCTGTTTTGCTTTTACCTATAAACGTATTATTTCCATAAAACTGAGATGCCCTTATGAGGGCTAGCTCTCCATTAGCAAGGTGAGGCAATTGCCTCAGACATCAGGATGGTGAGGTGGGCAACATGCACACACAAACACACCTAACAAGGCACTTATCACTGAAGCCTCAGTTCCTCTTTGCATCCTTCCTTCCCCCACCACCCTTACTGCGTAGAACATTATCCCTTGTACTTTTTCTACTACTACAATGCTGGATACAACCAATTACTGTGTCCTGTTACTTAGAATGATGATGACAAGAATCTGAATCCCAGCCTTCTTAATGGTGGCATCCATAATGTAAAACAATTTGAAATCAGAAGTCAATCAGGCTACACCTTTGCTGGCATTCACAGAAAAAACTAGTATTAGTATCAGGTTTTAATATTTTAGAATGGCTCATGATGAATGGATCTCAGTTTCCTTTTATTTGTAGACTTCCTCACATAACAGTGATTTTTATTTTACTGTTAATATATACTATATTCTGTTTTAATTTTTTGTTATAATTATTGTTTTATTCCCATTACAACAGCTTTGATGACTGCCAGTCCATTTCTGGGCACAATTCAGAATGCCTGTGTTTGACTAATAAAGCTCTAAACAATTTGGCTTTCGACTAGTTAAAAGACCACATTTTCCTTTATGAGCCTTCCTGCGCTCATAATTATCAGAGAAGGCCTTCCTCTCAGTCCTGCCACTCTCACAGGTACATCTGGTGAGGGCATAAGGGCTTTCTCTGTCACTGCTCCCAAGCTGTGGAACTCCCTCCCATGGGACGTCTGGCTGACCCCCACCCCACCCCCTTTCCTCTCCTTCCTCAGGCAGGCAAAGACTTTCTCTTCAGGCAGACTTTTTCTCAGTGATTGGTTGCCTAAGTTAAACTGCTGGTTTTTTTTGTTTATAATGTTTGTTTTTTAATATTGTAAGCCATCTCAGGTCCTCTTGAGGAGATATTAAATAGTTTTAATAATAATACTAATGCTGCTGCTACTACTACTTGTATTAATAGTAATAGCAGTAGTAGTAGTCATACTGCAAACTGCTTCAATAGTTATTCTGTTGTCTGAGAATGCAGGAGAGAGAGACAGAACATTTTGAAAGAACTTACTTTCAAGTAAATCTATTTTGGATCACCATATGAGACTAAGAGGTATACTGTAATGTATTGGATCTCTATATTACTACTACATACCGATGTCTGTCTACCAATAAAAGTTACTATTTCCTTGGCATCCAGTATTATTGATGATGGGAGAGAGGAAACTTCTGCAGTTTTCAGCCCTAAGTATGAAGCACGATAAACAGTTCTTTACTGTTCAAGTTAGAGAATTTTACATTCAATCAAAATATTAATCTATCCTAATATTGGAGTAATACTAGTTAAAATATCAGGACTGTATTACAAGCTCACATATATTCTCCAGTTCAAATCCTTGCCTCCTTTCCTCTATCAGCTTTAAACTTAATTTATTACTACACTAATATCAGTGTTAACTGGTCATGGTCAACATTATAGGTAACATTTACACAGATTTAATTCTAAACCAAAAGTGAGGAATCTCTTTCAACTTGAGCCCCAAATTCAGTTTTAGAGGAGTTCTTGTGTGTTATGTCGGTGATGGAAAGGGCCAAGGAAAAAACGGGGGGGGGGAGGAGGGAATACCAGCATATTTAAGTTCAAAGTTTATCATCAGTAGCTAAACTTTAGAAGAGGTATTTCAAACTTTTAGAATATGAAAAAAAAATCTTCAATGAGTGAGAGATCATCAAAAGATGGTGTCACGGGGAAGAATAAGTGGCCATCTGGAGAAGTCCACAGAGCCAGAAGGGTAAATTCGTCCCCATGGCCTGAGGCTTTCTACCTCTGCCCTAAATCATAGCTAAGGCTGTGAAGGGATGGTGGAATTCATTTGGGAGGCAGATGGAACAAGAGAGTGCATGATTAGATGCCCCGGTATTTTAACGACAGCCAAGAGATCAGCATTAGACCTGCATCAAATTTCTTTCTTTTTACAATAAAGGTATTCTAATATTACTTTTCCTTTATCCATTCCATTTTTGAATATGGCAATTTGCTTGAAAGCAATTTAATTTATAAATCTCAGAGGCTTCTGGAATGGAGTAGGGGACTATCTCACCCCCCAAATTTGTACATAAGCTATGGAGTAACAGCACATGCTCAGATGACACATTCATAGTAATGTTCAGATGCTGCTAGTTTTTCACCAACTTTTATTATATTTCTGTGCAATAGCCTAGAAAAAAGAATTCTTCATTGAAAAAAAAAATAAAGGGAGTGTGAACACTGCTACCTAATACAATTACCAGTTTGTTGTTCTTGCATTTCATTTCCATCTGACCCTATTGCGAACATTTTTCTGTCTGTACCCATCTGTATAATATATCTATCAACTAAAGATAACACTCCATCTATCTGGTGAAATTGTTGGTCCCCTAAGACTCATTGTTACGGTAACCTTCCTTTCTGTCTTCACTATTATAACTCAACTACTACTCAAACACAGAAGCAAGAATGAAATGAAGTGGAACATCTTGAAAAACAGAGAGGTTGAAGACAGCAGCCATAATCTGTAACAGTGAATAGATGATACAAATCTTAATTAATTGCTCCTAGAAACAAACACAAACATATAGTCTTAAATACAACAAGGGCCGAATTCAACTGGCGCTGCAGTGTGGGCAGGGCAAAATCTCCTCCTCCTGATACCTTTTGGAACTGGCTGAAAACCAATTCTGGAGGGCATCCCAGCCTTTAGAACACATCTTTGTAATACATGGAAGGCTGCAACGGAAAAAGAGATTGTTCCTCCCTTGGTTCCACTGTATTCCACTATTTGGTTAGCTAATATCCAGCACTAGATTGCAGTCAAGGAATAAGAGGCACACGACCCCATATACTGGATGGGATCTCATGTGAAGACCATGTCTTACAAGTCTGCATGTGTTAACCCCAGCCTTTTTAGATCAAACTTTTTTGTTTCCCTGTTTCAATTCTTTATAAAGCATGCTGCTTAAATGAATGTCTTGTTAATTATATTACATTCTAATTAACAATACTGTACATTACCATAGTTACTTTCCTCTGTATGTCCTTTGGAAAGCATATAGGTATAAGTAATTTTCTCCCTAATCCCAGAACTGTTTCTCACATGCTGCACTTCAAAGTAAGTGTTTTCCACATTAGGATATAAGGTATCAAGTTGGCATAATTCTAAAAAATGAGTAGCAAAGAGTGTAAAAGCCTAAAATATGAAACAATAAATTAAACATAAATTATTGGAATAAAGAGAAAGAAAAAGCAAGTAAAACAAAATACAGTGGAACCTCAACTTACAAACTTAATTCGTAAGTTGAAACATTAGTAGGTCGAAGCAAAATTCCCCATAGGAATGCACTGAAAACCTTTTAATCCATTCTGGCTGTTTTTCGTTCTTATGTAGAGGGGCCGTTCGCAAGCAAAGTTGGTTCATCTGTACTCTACCACTAGGGGGAGAATTTTTTTCCTTTTTCTTCTTTTGACCTAAGATGAACTTAGGTCAAAAAAAGGGCAGGAAAGGAGGGGGGGAGGGAACACCTTTTAAACAGAACATGTTTTTCGTTCGCAAGTCAAAGCAACATTTTGCGGATAGAGCGGTTTGTAAATTGAAATGCGGAGGGGGGAGGGAACACCTTTTAAACAGAGCACGTTTTTCTTTCGCAAGTTGAAGCAACATTTTGTAGATAGAGCAGTTCGTAAGTCGAAATGATCACAAGTAGGGACGTTTGTAAGTCGAGGTTCCACTGTAGTCAGATGCTTATTGATTAAAATAGTAATATTACCTTTAGATTGAGAAGATATTCACAGACTGCGTAACATATGCCAATGCCTTCTTCAGGACTAGTACCTCTGCCAAGTTCATCAATTATGATAAGTGATCTGTCATTAGCATTTTGTATGATATACGTTATCTAGAGAAAAAAACATCAAATTTCATTACGAACACTAAATGTGAAGATAAAATCTGTTAATAGGAATTATCATTTCCTCTCCAAAACCCAAGCTATGAAATTCACTTTAGTAATGTTTAACCAGCTGACATTTAAAAACTGAACATTCATCAACACAAATAGTTTGCTCAAAATACTCTGTATGTGCACAGCAGTTTGAATTATGCACGTATTTCATGTGCACACAAAAATTCTCCTAACTTCTGTGATGAGAGCAGGCCAATTAAGAATACTGAGAATTGTTTTTAAAAGTGTGGCTAATAAAAACTAGCCTGTTGGATACCTCAGTGAGTTATGTACCTAGCTGAGGAGCCGGAGGTTTCAAGTTTGACTCTCCACTGTGCTCCACAAGAGAACAGCCAGCCTGTGTAGCCCTGGTCAACTTACAATCCCAGAGAACCCTCAAGTGACAGTGAAATTATGAATGGCAACCCATCTGACCCATCCTTTCTGTCTTGACAGCTCCGTGAATTAAGTATGTAGTTGCAGATCTAGAGGTTGGGGGTTCAGTTCTCCAGTGTCTCCCAGGGGAACAGGCAGCCTATATCGCCTTAGACAAGCTGCAAAATTCCAGAATGCCTTCAAAAGAAGATAATGATTATTTACTTCTGAATATTCTCCACCTAGCTAACTGGATAGCTCAGTCAATAAGGTATCTGGCTGCAGAGCCAGAGGCTGGGAGTTCAATTCCCCAATGTGCATCCTAAAAGAGCTAGTCTGTGTGGCCTTGGAAAAGTTACACAGTCCTAGAAGTGCTCCCAGAAGGAGGGAATGGTAAACTACCTCTGAGTACTCTTTACAGAGAAAACCCTGAAAAAGGGCACCATAAGGTGGAAGTGACTTGATGGTACACAATTAGGGTACCCAGTGTGGTGTAGTGGATAGAGCAAAGAGTGGAATCCACTGGAAACAAGGGAGGAACAATCTCTTTTTCCGTTGCAGCCTTCCATGTACCTCTGAAAAACTACTATGAAGAGCCCAGAAACTCTGAGGGGAGGCAAGAGAAGCTTCAAGAGGACTGATGGAAAATTTCTCTCTTCCAGTGGGAGCTTATGTTAGATTACAGTCCCTTCAGCAAACAAAAAGGATCCTTTTGTATTCTGTTCTTTGGAACAATTCTCCTAAGTTCAGAACAGCAGACATAGGGTGTCTATTGAAAATTGTTTCCTGAAGAAAAGTAGGAAAGTTCCTACTATCTGTTGTAAGCCATGGCTTTGCAAAATGGTAACTCTAAGAGCCAACTGTGTCTTCAAGATCAGGATGAGACTTTACATTTATTGATTGATTAGATTAGATTTATATCTCTCTTTTCTCTCTGAACTAGGACCGAAGATTAAACAAGATGTAGATAAAAATAGATTTAAAAACAAGTGCAGATCAGATATAAAAGATGGTTCTATTAAAATGTAATTACAGTGGACCCTTGACTTACAGATGGCTTGACTTACAGACTTTTTGAGTTACAGACTTCTCTGGCTGCAAAATTTAGGTTTGACTTGCAGCCTGAGAATTGACTTACAGACCAGAAAAAAACCAAAATGGAACAAAAACGGCCTTTTACGGGATTAATCGGTTTTCAATGGACTGTAGGGCAATGGAGACTTGACCTACAGACTTTTTGACTTGAGAACCGCCTTCCAATACGGATTAAGTTCTCAAGTCAAGCCCCCACTGTAAATGTCAAAACATTAATTTTTAAAAAAATCACAGCACAAATCTATTGAAATCCCTTCGTCAGTAGCTGCACAGTTGCCAAGGTGTGCCAGGAAAACTGCTTTTGTCTGACAGTTGAAAGATAACAGGTAGGAGGCTAGCAATATAGTAACCATGAAGAGCAACTGCAAAATGCAATATATGACCCTTCAAGTTAAATTGTTTTGCACAATATAAAAAACAGAGACTTAGATCCTAACTACAGAGAACAGACTGGTGCTTGTGGAGTAAGGCTTTCCTGCCTTTTTCCTCCTGCAATCTCTTATTGGCCAAACAAACTTCTGGATTTCACTGGGAAGTCTTGAATGGCCAGCAACATCAGATTAGGGGACTGCAAGAAATTAGCAGAAATCAGGATTTTTTCCTTGTACAATCTGAGGTGCTTTCTATTTCCTTCTGAGTTATGTTTGCATTCCAGCCACAGTACTGTATATTGTTGTTGTTATGTGCCATTGACTATGTATGGGGCGACATATTTATCAATATACTTGAGAAAGGGAAACAATACAGATGCATTTCTTGACTAACCCACTTATTCCAGCCCAGAGGGCTGTACACATGGGCAAACTGAACATATAGCTTAAAAACTGGCACATGAACAGTTGAGGCTAGGAAGGCACTGGTCTGCCATTGAAGAAACAACCTATGGTGCGCGTGCATAGATCTACCGAGTTTTAGCCTATTAGTCTCATCTTTGCCACGCAGGGAGAAAAACAGAAGCAGAGGTCCTTTAATATTTACAAGTGAGCAAAAATGTAGAAACCCATAAGCCAATTAAATATTAATCAAGGACGCTGACAAAACAATCACGAAGCACTGCTGAATACCTCTTTCATCTCTTGCATGAATGTTGATGAATTTGTTTCTATATCATCATCCATACCTATTCTAGTAAATATTTGCTCAGCAATCCTAAAAGAAGAATATTCTGCTGACACAAACGATCCTGTAGATTAAAGAAAAGGGCAAATAAATGTTAGGAGATATTAACATTACTGCAAATTAATGGTAGCTCTGTTGAATTCTTTTTAAAATGTTAAAAAAGGGACATCTTATTATGACTTCCATACTTTTTTCCTTGTATCTAATTATTGTATCAGAAATATCTAATGTGATGTGACTTATTTACTATGCTTGTGCATACGCTTTGATAGAATTGTTTTAATAACAATGTGGATTGCCACAGAGTTTGTTTTTCAGTGACTGAATGAGTTTTATCTAAGAAAATAGCCTTTTACTATAGGGAAATTGTTTTCTTTGTATCTTTGAACTACAGAGCTTCATTTCTATGACATTTAAACAGAAGCTATTATTTTATTAGAATCAGTGTTTCTTTTAATATAAAGTATTATTTACATATATGGAGTAGAGAAATTTGTAATACAGAAGGCTGTTATTTTTGAAATATACAAACACGTAATTTTTATATATACTTCAAGTTTATTTTATATTTTTGGTTTTTGGTTACTCAACTTACTGCTTGCTAAATAAACCCTTTAAGGAAGAAAAGGATCCATTCCTGAACCTTTAAGACAAAATAATAAAAGATATCCAGGAATGAAGAATTAAATATAACAAGGTACAATATCTTCTGAGACAATAAATAAATTCCTTGTCAGATGTGTGAAGGACACAAACCCATAAGTCTCTCCTAATGAGCCTGCAGATCAGCAGCTTTATAGAGGACTGTAGCGGAATGCAAAAAGGTCATGTCATTCCAGCCTGTCCATCACAGCAGCTCAAGGGGAGGGGCTACGGATAGAGCAGGAGGGGCGGAGCCAGAGAGAGACAGAGAGTTAGGAACTGGGAGAGACAGTTAGAATTAGAGAGAGTTAGGAACACTTGGAGATGTGGAATGAGAGTTAGGGTTTAGGGGAACGAAGGAGAGGGTTAGTGAATTGAGAGATATTGATTGACAGCAAACTTGATCCAATACGTATTAACACCTGAAACAGTTCATATGTGATTTACCCGTTGATTTGTTTGACAATAAAAGAATAATTAATTAAAACTCTGCTTCCTAAGTTCTATAACCCTTAGTGTTGGCAGCACCTGTGACATAAATTGGTATTAGGAGAATACCTGGTGGCAGTGTGAAGGGCGTGTACCTTTGTGAGGTCCAAATAAATAGGGGCAACAAAGGGTAGATTGCCACAAGGACATTCAGATTTTCCCTTCTGGAAACTGATAACTAGCTCACTAGAAAACAATACAGCTTTAAATAAGCTCTGCTTACCAATTTGTGCCATAATCTGAGAAAGGGCTATCTGCTTTAAGTAGGTTGACTTTCCACTCATATTTGGTCCTGTAACAATAACAAAATTACTTCCTTCTGTGATATAAGTATTGTTGGCAACTGGTTTCTCAAAAGATATTTTCTCAAGAACGGGATGCCATCCTTGCTTTATTGCTAATGTGTCAGTAAACTCAGGACGCACTGAAATAAGAAAGATAACAAGATGGTAGAATATTGGAATTGTTGTTAACAAAAATATTGTAATCCAAATTTGGTCAAACATATAGCATCATTTAACTTCCAACTAACAGAACACATAAAAACATATGAAGTGGTGCTTCTTTAAGTCATCTGGAAGACATCTATTTTATTGTCAATGCACTACATGTGTGCAGTGAAATTGAATGAGCCTTTATTGGTACAACCACACAAAGCACAAAAAACACAGAATACATTCAGACCACAGAATACATCTCCAGCCTTATAAACAAATCCCCAACCCCAGGAATACTGGGGCTAGGCACACATTTCCACCGGTATGTACATATTGCATGTTGCACTGGCACTGAGTCTGGCACTAGTCATGGTGTTATGTGGCATTTAGAAGTCTGACAGCCCATGAATAGAAGCTATTTTTCAGCCTATTTGCCTGATTGGCTATGCTTCTAAATCTCTTGCCCGATGGTAGAAGTATGAAGAAGTGCTGTCTCGGGTGAGAGTCATCCCTAAGGATTTTACTTACTCTGTTGAGACAGCGGGACCTGATGATTTTCTCCAGTGGGATTATGGGCAACCCACGATTTTTTGTGCTATGCTCATCTTTATTTGTTTGTTTATTTATTATTTTTCTTTTTTTTGAAAAACATTTTATTGAATTAATACACTACAAAACATACAGCTTACATCATTGAAAACACCAACAAAAAAGCCCTCCTACTAATCTAAACCCTCCCCTCTTTGGAATCAGAGACTCCAGCTTCGTTTGACTCCTTGTTCTCTCCACCTGGGTTCCCAGTGTGAACTGAATACATATGATAAGGAAATTGGGTGGTAACACATACC